CCCGGGTCTGCGCGCGGGGGCGCGGGCCTCCGGGTCAGATGAGACGCCCTCGGCGGCACGCAGGCATGCACCTCGGGTCAGACACGGGGTGCTCGCCCCCAACTTTACCCGCCTTTGCTTTACCTTGTCAAGAAACTGAACCACGGCGCTGGAGCGAAGCCGGGAGACGGGGACATTAGCCTAAAGCCCTCGAGGCAGGAGGTTGCAGCCCGAATGCGTTTTAAATTTCAGAAACCTCGGGAAGAGAAACTCTGCTCTTAGCGCTGAGGAGGGGTGGCGCGTGCCCGCCTGCTTGTCAGCGGAGCAGCGGGGCTGTATTTCTCTTTCCAATTCAAATTTTGTCAGATTCTGGCTTTAAAAATAAATCACGGAAAGATCTGGGAACCCGGCATCTCACCACTGTTTCAGGATCTCAGCAAAATAGGCAATGGGAGATATTTTATCATTGTTAGAGGGGAAATCTACATTTATTTTATTCTGTTATGGGATTGGCATCCTTTGTAAGAAGAAAGATGTGCACTTTCATTAGTCAGGAAATTACCCTAATAAACGTTGTTTAAATGTATAAGCTAAGTCACTTAGTATCCTTTGAATTCCTTGCAGTTCCTCCTATTATAAGAATTATCTACTTAACATACTTAAAGTCTACTCAGAAGATTTCATTTGTCTTGGTGTCACAGATAAATTTTTATTTAAAAATTACAATAAGTCTTTCCAAAGATGTTGCTTTTTTTAAAAGTTGCCACAATTTGTTACACTCTTTACTCAAAGGATTCATGATTGATGTTAGGCCTAGTAATTAAGATGGTGGGAGATAAAATTAGATGCAAAAGAGAACAAAAAACCTCTTTATTTAGCCAAAATAATGATTTCACACAGTCAATATCAGAGTCCTTCCCAAATAACATTTCATTTTGAAAGCAATCTGTTTTTGGTTATATTTCACATTTTCTCCAGGTATCTAAGATGAAGAGAGGTTCACATATAACATTGCTGTTATTATGCATAAAATATTTATGTTGTATAAAACTGCACTGTGTTCATTCTAACACTTGTTGGAAGCAGAGAATTATTCCACAGACTGACATTTCCATTATAAGTTAGCTTATTGCATTTTTCAGGAAAACGGAAGTGAAAGGGTAAGTTTTAGGGAAGAAATTCTTTGTGCTTTTTTTCTTTCATTTTAAAGTGCTTCTGCAGTAGGCAGTTAGGCAGACTTGAGCAGAGCAAGGACCATAAGCCAGGTACAGAAGGTCACCAAGGCGGAAAACCTCTGGTGCCTAGCAACAGGCAAAACTGGGAAAACGAGGACCTCACCCCCCAGGGTAACCTTTCCTTCCCTAGCTTGTCACTGGTAATGCCGGTCAGACCCACCTAGAAGGGGAATGAACTAGGAAGGCAGAGAATAGCCCTTAAGCACTAAGCCCTTAGGACAACCAAATACTCCCAGGCCTCAGTTATGTTTCAGCTCCAGGCCATGAAAAGCAACAAAACCAGACCTTGACACTGGGGCTGACTTTAGGGCCAGCTGCTTTGACTAATGACCCCTGGCACTGACCAGTCAGTGGAGACCCACCCTGAAAGGACACATCTGGAAAGCTGATGAATATTTTATTGAGATTTCCCCCTGGGATGTTCCCTAAAATCTCCACTCTAAAAAGCCCTAGGACAGCGGACCCAGCAGCTCTTCCTCCCTGAAGCAGGCCCTCTCCTTTCCCCTTCCCCTCTCCTTCCCCCAGGCTCTTTACCCTTCTCTCTCCCTAAGCTCCAAGGACCCTTCTTTTGCCTCTGTAATTTGTTTCCTGAGCCCATTTCTTTTACAGTTTACTTCTACTTCTGTGACTTTCTAAATAAACTTTTTTCTTCTAGTTTGAGTCTTGACTCTGAATTCTTTCTTAGCCAGAACTCAAGTACCAAGGTCTAACACCTGGTACCCTGGTGCTATTCTCACTGCCAACAGTTCCTCTACTTTACATTTTCAGTTTTCCTATGTTTAAAATATCCCCGGCTGTCAGGAGGCACTTTTAAAGAAACTGCTTAGTATCCCACACCCCCCATTTGCAATACCCATTATTTAGTTGTGAGAAGTCTCTCACTGGAACAAAGATTCACAGAATGCTCATTTAGTGCAGAGCACGGTGTTAGGTGTTTTATGCGTGTATGTTTGTGTGTAGATGGTGAGGACAGAGGAAGAGCAGAAGAAGACTGATTACATAGTTACACCTCACACCAAAATAAAATGAATTAATGAATGTTGGGAGAGAGATAAACATAAGAAAACATGATAATTTATTAATCTATCAATAGATACAAATAAGTATCCATTATATTCAGGAACAGTGCAAATGGCCATACTGTAGTAAAAAAAGTACATCACTGGCAGTCAGGAGAATGTCATTCATTCATTCATTCATTCATTCATTCATTCATTCATCAATCATCTGTTTAGGGCGTTTTATATCTCAGGCACTTGCATTCTGCAACTACTCACTATGTAACCTTGAATTAATCCCTCATAGAATATTCCTCACATAGTACCTTGTGTTAGTTGTTTCTATGCTACCAGTGCCTACTAGAACACATAGCATATTAGTTGTTCAATAAATACTAGTTGAATGAATAAAGGAACAGCAAATTTTTCTTAGCTATTCATTAATGAAAGGGACCTCCCCTTTAAATTATATATTGATTAGTGTCTTTAGGGTGGGAAAGAAGTGTTGCCCTCAGTTTTTCCTATGTCCAATGGATACGAAAGATGGTATTTCCTTCATCAGCTTACTAAGAAGGCAGTGGTTTCATAATTTCATGAATTCAATATTTTATGTGCATATATTTAAAATAGAAAAGTTTTAGGGTCAAACTATACAATCTGAATGTACTTCGTTTTCATTTAAATAAAAGCATGTTGTAAATATGTTTTGCTACTTTAGTTTTATGTTGCTTATGTGATAGCCTTTATCAATGAAGATATCTAATTTAAAAACTTAAAGTGTTAAACTATCACAATTGTCCATGTAGATATCTCCCCATTTCATTTTGGGGCCATTTGAAAACTTGTCTAATTTCAGTGGTCCCAATATATATGTATATGCAAATAGACACACACACACACACACACAGAGTCATACTCTAACCTGAATTTGCCCACATTCCCAGAATGATTCATTTCTGATATTTTAAAGCTGGGAAAATTAAACTACTATTTTAAAATGATTAGTAGCAAATATTTACTTAGTCTCCTCTATGTACAACATACTCTATTAAGCACCATTACAATCATGAAAAGAATTAAGCCGTTTTCTCTTATCTCCATTGGAGTCTAACAGAGAGGACTGACCACATACATTGGAGGCAATCTGAACTTTAGACTTAAAACCACAGATTGTGTTGCATTTCCTCTACAAAAAATTTGGACAGGAATATTTTACTTTAAATGAGTGTCATCCTACATGTCTCGAGAAAGCCTAAAGCCTGTGTAGAATCCACTTGCCAATGTTTCTCTTGTTCTTACCTCGGTAGTAGAAAAGGCAATCAGTAACTACTGATCTATAACAAAAAAGGATTGTTTCAAGAAAGTGAGTCCAAAGAAAAACTAAGCAGGATCACAATAACAAATAACCTGCACACATTATAAGTACAAATATGATCATGGACAAGCTAGGTGGACCCAGGGGGTCATCAGAACTCATAAAATTAGGCAGAAAGGCCAGTCAAGGCTGCTTTGATTCACAGCTCACTGTCCTATCCAGGCCAGCTGCGGGGAGGCTATTGACTAGTAACATGGTGAGTAAGATGATTCAGTAGGCGACGTGAGCCACTTTTGTACCAGTTACACTTTCTCACTTGAGGTAATATCAACGTAAATTACTGGTTAGGATCTAAGAATAAACAAGTAAGATTCTGGGTTTTTGAATTAATTTATCTTTAAAGGGATGTAATTATTTCCAGAGAATAATTCAGTCAACATAGAATCAGTTGTAGATGTTGTGAAAACTTAGTTTGAAATTTTCTAATAGCACAATAGTGCCTATTTAAAACTTGCTGCATGTAAAACTGAAGTTAAAGCTATTTATAATGAATGTATGTACACAATAGGATTTCCTGTTTGGAAATGTATTGGACCAAGACCTATAAGTTGAAGATAATAGTGTTTACTATTAATTTAAATATATATGCATTTTTATAATTTTGAATATAATTATCCAAAATAGATCTAGCAATAGGTAGATAAATATATATTGCTTTTTAAAGCCACATATATGTCAGAGTCTCTGTAATAATGTATATTCATTAGAATTAACTATTGCTGTCTTGAGTAGGAAATTTTTGTTAAATAGTGAGAGTGCTTACTTTTTTAAAGTGGAGGAGGAGTTCCTTTTGCCTTCTACTGATATATTATAGGCAGTTTTGTGTTTCATCAGGAGGTACTTTCAAGCCTCTAGCAAACAGCAGTAAATAAGTGATACCATTGTGATATTAATAATATAACCTTATTAATTTCCTTTCAAATGAAAAAACTTATTATGAGGTGTTATATTAGTATCATTTCTATGTTTGACTTTAAGATATAATATTTTCCTTAAACAACATAAATTTATTGAATCTTTTTAAAGCTGAAATGTATTTTCAGTTTGTAACAGGTAAATTTTGTTTTTAAAAGTACTGCTGCTCAGTGGCTGTGTTAATTCATGACAATCTGGCACATCTTAAAGGACTGAGAATTGATCATGGAGTGTTTTTGCCATCCAGCATTGTGCTCACATAGTGAAGTGTACAACTTGATAAACATTTATTGAGTGTCTGCTGTATACACATGGGTACTGAGATAGTGTTTCTACACTTGAGAAGTTTTAATTGGAACACTGTATACACTAGATCATACTTAGGATGCTTGGTTTTTGTTTGAATTTTGTGTTTTCCCATAAATATTTATTTAACATCTGCAATGGTGAAGTTACTGTGTCACGTATTATGGTAGATACCATGGTAAGGGACAGTTTCTGCTTTTCCACTGCTGATAAATAAATAATGTAGATGGTTTGCATTATAATTGCAATGCAAAACAGATTGTGGCATGTAGCATCAGACAGTTATAAACAGAGCATTATGTGGGTTCGGAAGAGATCACATCCAACTGAGTAGACCAAAGAATACTTTAGGATAGGTCACTCTTAAGTTTGGTCTTGATTCAAGTAGGAAAGGAAGGAACGTTTAAGACAGATTATATGACTACACCACGTATTAGGTCCCTTGACTGGAGAAGAATATTACTGAGCTATTGCAAATTCGGTATCTTGAAGTTCTTATCTACATTTGCCTTTTCCTTGCCTTACATTATTTCCTGCATTAATTTAAAAAACAAAGTTTGCTATTCTAACACAAGTTAACACACCATAGAAATGACAATAGACTTAAACTCACTGTAATTGTTATTGGCTGATATTTGCACTGCATTTGGAACCAATTAAAGGCCTCACTAAACATTCTTAGGAGGTTAATAAGGTAATGGGAGCAAATTGTAAGATTCACTTTCCCTCTCAGTGGATTCATTTATAGTAGTCATGTAATTTTCTTCAAGTTGCTAACTAATGTATTTTTATTCCAAGCAGGTCTATAATATGGATTTAGAGCTCGAGGATTATCATAACCAGACGCCTGCCACAGAGAACAACACTGCTGCCCCTGGGCATCCTGACTTCCCAGTCTGGGATGACTATAAAAGCAGTGTAGATGACTTGCAGTATTTTCTGATTGGACTCTATACACTTGTAAGTCTTCTTGGTTTCATGGGGAATCTACTTATTTTAATGGCTCTCGTGAGAAAGCGTAACCAGAGTACCACAGTAAACTTCCTCATAGGAAACCTGGCCTTCTCTGATATCTTGGTTGTGTTGTTCTGCTCGCCTTTCACACTGACCTCTGTCTTACTGGATCAGTGGATGTTTGGCAAAGTCATGTGCCATATTATGCCTTTCCTTCAATGTGTGTCAGTTCTGGTTTCAACTTTAATTTTAATATCAATTGCCATCGTCAGGTATCATATGATAAAGCATCCTATATCTAATAATCTAACAGCAAACCATGGCTACTTCCTGGTAGCTACAGTCTGGACACTGGGTTTTGCGATCTGTTCCCCCCTTCCAGTGTTTCACAGTCTTGTGGAACTTCAGGAGACTTTTGGCTCAGCGTTGCTGAGCAGCAAGTATTTATGTGTTGAATCGTGGCCATCTGATTCGTACAGAATTGCTTTTACTATCTCTTTATTGCTAGTTCAGTATATTCTGCCCTTAGTGTGTCTAACTGTAAGTCATACCAGTGTCTGCCGGAGTATAAGCTGTGGACTGTCCAACAAAGAAAACAAACTAGAAGAAAATGAGATGATCAACTTAACTCTTCAGCCATCCAAAAAGAGTGCGCCTCCGGTGAAACTCCCCAGCAGCCGTAAGTGGAGCTCTTCATTCATCAAAAAGCACAGAAGAAGATACAGCAAGAAGAAGGCATGCGTGTTACCTGCTCCGGCAAGGCCTCCCCAAGACAATCATGCAAGCCTGCTCCCAGAACACTTCGGCTCTGTGAAAAGTCAGCTCTTTTCCTCCAGCAAGTCCATACCAGGGGTCCCCACCTGCTTTGAGGTGAAACCTGAAGAAAACTCGGACGTTCATGATATGAGAGTAAACCGTTCTATCATGAGAATAAAAAAGAGATCTCGAAGTGTTTTCTACAGACTGACCGTATTAATATTGGTGTTTGCTGTTAGTTGGATGCCACTACACCTTTTCCATGTGGTAACTGATTTTAATGATAACCTTATTTCAAACAGGCATTTCAAGTTGGTGTATTGCATTTGTCACTTGTTAGGCATGATGTCTTGTTGTCTTAATCCAATTCTATATGGATTTCTTAACAATGGAATCAAAGCTGAGTTACTGTCCTTTATACACTGTCTTCATATGTCATAATTCTCACTGTTTACCAAGGAAAGAACAAATGTTGGGACCATCTAAAATACAGTCACAATGACTTTGTGTATATTGTAAACAAATTTTGTTAACTTATGAATTAATTTATGTATAAGAGTTTTGAATTTGAATGTCAGTTCATAGTACATATATGGAAGATGTTTTGTGTTATAGTACAGTGAATTCATTTAGTTGTATAAAGTCAGTGTCAGTCTAATCTGTGATTTCATTTTAAAAAGTAGTTATATTACCTTTTGTTTCCCTTTGTCTTGTAAACAAGTGGATTGTAATTTTTGTTTAAAATAAAAGTTGTATCGACAGACTTGGTATTTTTTGTTTAAAATTATAATGAAAAGTATTTTTTTCCTGCGGAACATTTAATTTAAAATATGAGGAGTATCTATTATGTCTTTATCTTCATTTCTATTTCATGGACTTCTTAATGTTTGGTTTGTGAATACAGAAAATGTTTAGTATACCCAGCAAATCATAAGTAAATGGCAGATGTATGCCCAAGTCATGATTATAATTGCAAATATTGGGTACAGGTTTAGAACTCTTACAGGAAAGTGCCTACCTCCTATTATTGATAATTGGTCAAATTGTCAGTTTATCTCCACTGCCCTACTAATACACAATTAATTTACCAAATAAAAATAGTTTGAAAATTTTTTCTAGATTTATACCACCACATTACCAGTATCAAGTAAAGATTATCTTTATATACATCTTTCATATTCTAAAATGTGAAGTATAAGTGGTATCTGTATTTCCAAGTATTAAATAATTTTAAAGACTACTTAGTGTTCACAGGAAGAAAAAAAAAGGGTTGTGTTTTTTGCCAACATATAGAATGATTAATATAATTTATGCTATTTCAGTACTGAGGTCTCATATGCTATCTTACCAAATTGAGGTCAAGCATTTCCATTGAGATTTTAGTTTGTTTTTGCCAGTTTTTTAAAGAAGCAAGTCCCTGAAAAAGTTGAATATTTGCACATGTGGCTCAGGTTGCTGTCTTCTAACCTTGCTGTCTTCAGTTCCCAGAACCATACCCTGCTTTAATTCCTGTTCTTAAGGGAAATAACAAAACAATCATATTCAGTTTGCAAATAATAGGCAATTCTGGTAGATTTTTAATCAATTGAAAGTCCAACATCTCTTATACGGGCTTTCTTTGGGCCTCCCTGCTCCTGCCATAGGGGACGCCTCCACTGAGGGAAAGCTGGAAATGGAGCTGGTCCCCGCGGCACCCTCTGCTGGCTGCTGCTGAGCTCCTGTCCAGTACAGTAGCCATCCTGCCTGGTCTCCATGTAGGTCAGCCTCTGCCGGTGCTGTGTCAGGTGCTGTCTCCTCCATGAGCCTGGGCTGTCCTGTGGGGTCTTGCCCCTGTCAACTCTGGAGACTGCTCAGGAATTTCAAACTCATCACCGAGAACTCAGCGGAAACTTAGGAAATTCTCCTCCTCATATAGGTCACCCTGGCTTTCTTTGTCCAAATACCAGAAGCTGCCATATCTGCGCTGCCTTGTTCACCTCACATTGCTGCAAAAGCACCTCTGCTTTGCAGTTCCTTTCTAGACCTTCAGATATGAGGCTGTGTACAAGCCTCCTCTAATCGATTTGGTGCTGAGTGTCCTCCCCAAGTTTTTATATGACAGCAGATAGAAAAAGTGAAGAAATTTTTGTTCCTGTTTGCCTTTTTCTTTCCCTTTCCCTTTTATTAGAAGGCCGTCTGCTTCTCAGAATGTCCCCTACTGACAATATCATTTTTCTCTCACTATGACTTACAGTAAAACTATGTTTAGAACATCAGGGTTTGCTTTTGGAAAACAAAGCTCTTGTGATTTAAAACCTTCCTTTCTCAAGGCTTAGATTTAAGACTATTGTCTCACCATGACCGAGAACACAAAAGTCTAAGCTGAAGAATGACCTCTTATTTAAAAGCAATAGGTATTTTCATTTTCACTGGGGCAATCAATTTCAAAGTTTAACCTCAGTGGCTGGGAGGGGGCAGGGGGGCAAATATAAATACATAGGGAGGTATTTTATACTGTGAGAGTAACTTACTTTAGCAAATGTATAATAACTGTCAAACCTCACAGATTTTATGGTCGTTGATAGATGAGTTTAGTTAAACTGGATGAACTAATTTGAGGCTCTTCAACTATTGAATGCAGAGAAAGCAATTTATCTTCCCTAACCAGAAATGGCTAAATGTTCTTAGTAATTGAAAGCTGAGAAGTTGGAATGGGTTGGTGAATAGAAGTCATTAAGAAGGGGATTAACGGTTTTAGATTATTATTATGAGTAATAACTTCTTCCATGGAGACTTGTTTAGTGAGCAAAAAAATTTATATTCAATCAACTCTCCATTGCTCAAGAGCTGATCATCTAACTTTTTTTTCCCTATTCTCTCCTGGTGTCTTGTTCCATAGCACTGTCACAAAGCATGGCTAGGGGAAATAAATGGAGATGAAATTACAAACAGTTAACATCATTACTTTTAACAATTACTTTAAAATATTTAATTCAGGAAGAGATGTTAAATTGAGTTTTAGTGGTTAAATCATTCCTGCTAGCTGTGTTGCCCATTACTGTAGATAATAAAACACTAAATAAAATAAAATAAAATAATAAACCTGAGAAATGCACAAAAAGCAACTAAAATGATTAAATCATGGAAAATGTATATGAGATTATTTTATTCAGATATCTATTGAATACCTACTGTGTGCCAGGAACTCTTCTAGGTGCTTGGGATATAACAATGAAAAAGACCCCTGCTCCTTTGATGTTTGTCTTCTGGGTGGCAGTGAGTCCGTAGCATGAGATGGACAAACAATAAGCAATAAGAACTATAAAAAGGGAATTACATAGTGATGATATAGTATATGCATAGGTACATTCATTTCCTAGGGCTGCTGTAGGAGGACTTGATAGAACAATTTACTCTAGATGGTTCAGCCTGCATTCACTTGGAATTGGCTTGACATCTGTGTTAGCTAATTGTCCTTATTCAACGGAAAATAAAATGCCATATAGCTCTCTGCCGCGCAGGAGTCAGGCACCTAGGGTAAGCTCCCACAGAGACAGGGAATTCAGGTGAAGTCTTGATATTTTCAATTCAAAAGAGAGGGCTCCAAGGCCCTTAAGAAAAAAATGTCCTGGGTTGTAAAATTGGCAAGAGACTTTCTGAGGTTTTAAAAAGACCTACAAATCATGAGGACGGAAGAAGAATTTACAATGTTTTTTTTAAAAAAATTAATCCAGCACCCATTTATGATAAGAACTCTCAGAAAAGTGAGAATAAGGGGAACATAATGTAATAAAGGCAATATATGACAAACCCACAGCAAACATTATATTTAATGGGCAAAAATTAAAAGTATTTTCCTTAAGATCAGGAATAAGAGAGGGATGTCCGCTTTCACCACTCTTATTCAGCATAGTACTAGAAGTCCTAGCCACAGCAATCATACAGGAAGATATAAACAGCATCCAAACTGGAAAGGAGGAAGTAAAACTGTCATTATTGTCAGATGACAAAATACTGTATATAGAGAATGTTAAAGAGTCCACCAAAAAACTGCTAGAACTGATAAATGAATTCTGTAAAGTAGCAGGATAAAAAGTATCTAGAAATCAGTTGCATTTTAAAAATATATATTTTTATTGATTTTTTGAGAAAGGGGAAGAGAGAGGAGCAAGATAGAGAAAAATCAATGTGAGAGCGAAACATCGATTGGCTGCCTCCTACCAGTGATCCAGCCCACAACCCAGATTGTGTCCTGACTGGGAACTGAACTGGCAACCTTTTGGCACATGGGATGACACCCAACCAACTGAGTAACACTGAGGACATCAGCTGCATTTTTCTACACCAATAGTGAACTATCAGAAGGGAAACTAAGAAAACAATCTCATTTACAATTGCATAAAAAAATACCTAGGAGTAAATTTAACCAAGATTGTAAAAGATCTGTACTCAGAAAATTATAAAGCACTGAAGAAAGAAATTGAAGAAGATATAAAAAAGTGGAAGCATATACCATGTTCATGGATAGAAAGAATTAACATTATTAAAATGTCAATACTACAATTATTAATGCATATTCTTATCAAGAACTTCACAGAACTAGAGTAAATATTCCAAAAATTTATATGGAAACACAAAAAACCCTGGATAGCCACAGCAATCTTGAGAAAGAAGAACAAAGTTGGATGAATCATGGTACCTGATATCAAACTGTACAACAAGGAAATAGTAATAAAAACAGCCTGGTACCGGCATAAGAACAGACATATACAGCAATGGAACAGAACAGAGAGCCCAGAAATAAACCCACACCTTTATAGTCAATTACTAGTCAACAAAGGAGGCAAGAACATACAAAGGGGCAAACAGAGTCTATTCAATAAGTGATGCTGGGAAAATTGGACAGATATGTGCAAAAATAGTGAAACTAGACAACCTTCTTACACCATACACAAAAATATACTCAGAATGGATTAAATATTTAAATATAAGACTCAATACCATAAAAATCCTAGAAGAAAACATAGGGAGTAAATCTCAGAATTTTTTGTAGCAATATTTTTTTCTACTCTATCTTTTTCGGCAAGGGAAACAAATGAAAAAAATAAACAAATGGGATTACATCAAACTAAAATGTTTTTGCATAGCAAAAGAAACCATCAACAAAACGAAAAGACACCCACTGAATGAAAGAATATATTCCCTGATACATCTGATAAAGGATTAATATCCAAAATTTATAAAGAACTTATAACACTCACCACCAAAAAAACAAACAATCCACTTAAAAAATGGGCAAAGGACACTGAATGGACACTTCTCCAAAGAGGACATACAGATGGACAATACACATATGAAAGGATGCTTAATGTCACTAATCATTAGAAAAACGCAAATTAAAACCAAAATGAGATATTACCTCACACCTGTCAGAATGGCTACCATCAATAAATCAATAAAAAACAAGTGCTGGCAAGGATGTGGAGAAAAGGGAACCCTCATGCGCTGTTGGTGGGAATGCAGACTGGTGCAGCCACTGTGGAAAGCAATATGGAGTTATCTCAAGAAATTAAAAATGGAGCTGCCTTACGACCCAGTGATTCCACTTCTGGGAATATATCCAAAGAAACCTGAAACACTGATTCAAAAGAATATATGCTTCCTTACGTTAATTGCGGTGCTATATATAATGGCTAAGATTTGGAAGAAGCCTGAGTGCCTATCAGTAGATAAGTGGATTTAAAACACAGTGGTGCCTA